CTCAGGCCTGTGCACACTGGTGGGAATCATCCTCTACATCGGCAGCATCACCGGGGAGGTCGGCAACAAACCGCGGGCCTCCATAGAGGAGCCCAAGTTCCTCTACGACTACGGCTCCTCTTTCTTCATGGCCGTGGGTTCCTTCGTCCTCACCGAGCTCTCCGGCGTCTTCTCCGTCTATCTCTACATCTCCAAGCACAAACAGTCGCAGAGGGTCAAGCGATTGGCGCTCAAACCAGAGCACAACGACCGCAACCACCACCAGGGGGCCGCGCGCCACATTCGCCGCGCGCCCCGCGACAACTCTCGCGACCGCTCGCAGTCTCGCGACAGATCCCGAGAGCCGTCTGCCAGCCGGTCGGAGAGCTACTTCACGTACACGCCCATCTCGGACACGACGTCGCACGAACTGTCCAACTACACGTTCCCGCGGGAGAACACGAACAATACCATCTCCACCACCGCAGAGCTGCATGCGCCGCGGGGCCTGGCCGACAACTCCACCTCCTTCCCCTACACCACGCCCACCACAGCAATAGCCCCGCCCACCTCCTGCGTCCGGTCGGGCTCCCCGCCCTCGGTCATGGGCTCTATAGACATTGTCCGACGCACAACTCCAGTCTGAGGTCAAGGTCATGTCATAGGTCACGTGTTTCTCTAGTTGTACATAATGTTCCTAAAATAAGTACGGATTTCCCCGTATCTGTGAGCTCCTGCTGTGACCTCCGCCATAGACGTGTACAACTACAACAATAACATAGATCAGTTACTGTCATGGCAGCCCCTCCCTGCTCTCTACCTACCACCTCGCCTCGCTTGACCTGCCAAACATGAGCGCACAAAGACAGAACAAAACACCAGCCAGTCTCGCTATTGTCGTCAGAGAACGGGGGAAAATGTCCATCTCCACTCCACCCCTGCCCCACCTCTTTTTCTATTACCTTCCACCCCACCCCCACCTCCTTTTCCACTCCCCCCTTCCTCTTTTTTACTACTTTCACA